CCCAAACTCTGAACCGCTATACCCATCCTTCGTCAGATCTGGTTAACGTCGGCCTGCGCTCGTTCAGCAGCAGGGCGAAGGTGTTCGTGAGCGTCGGCCGGCGACTCTTCCTTTCACAAAATGGGGGGTTTAGGGTTTAAGGTTCGCTTCAGGGATCTCTTCGGGCTACTAAGGGGTTGCTTGAATTCAGGAGTAGCTACTGTATGGTTTTATAGGGTTTACGAGCGGCCCTTCTGGCCCCCTGGCCTGCACATGTGTTGGATGGCAAAACTGCAAACACGGGCAGCTTGCCCCACAGATTCTAGAAGACTGTCCCTCCCCAAAGACTTGAATGCAAATAAGAAGATAAACAAAACACTAAATAAATGTACCTATGTGTGTGTATATATATATATGTATATCAAACGTATACAGAAAGAAACAAGGCGCAACTGAGAAAGAGAGACTCAGAGACAGAGTGAAAAAAAACAATACCTTGTTGTCGCATCCTGTACCGACACCTCGCTGCCATAGTCGTCTGTGAAGTTATGTGAACACAAATCCAGATTTGGGTGATTGGTGCGTAAGGCTTGTCTGGGTAACCGGTTCTTCTGCTTCCACTTGTCGAGCCTATGGTTTTGCAAGCTTCAACCCCGTACCCGCCCATTGAACCTCAACAATGGCCTAGACACCTAGTCCTGTAGATCGGCTGCCCCCAGGAATATAATATACTAATAAATAGCACGGATAGCAATCACAATAAGAATAGAATAGCACTAACAAACATTTATGATGCAAAAAATAACCATATAACAATAATATAATGATGGTAATAAGAACAATAATGTTAAACATATAAAAATGGCAAAACGTATAACATCAATAAAATAATAATAGCAATGTTAATATTATACAAATAATTCTGTATAACAATAATAATATAGTAGTAATAATAATCATAGCAACGTCAATAATATAACAATAGTACTAATATAAAAATACAAAATAATAATACCATAGTAACAATAACAATAACAACACTGCTAATGTTATACAAACAGCAACAGTCTAACAATAATAGCAACATAATAGTAAGAACAACAATAACAATGCTGTCATTATATAAATAGGAACCCTATGACGATAAAAAATAATATAATACTATTAACAACAATGTTAATATAAAAACAGTAACAATCTAACAATAACAGCAATATGATAATAAATGTAGTAACAATACTGTTAACAACATAAAAAGTAGTATCAATATAACAACAATCTAATGATAATATCAAGGTCAACATTCTACAAATAGAAACAATGTAACAAGAATATAATTATAACAACAACAACAACAATGCCAATAATACTAATAATATAAAAAGTAGCAATATAGTTATACAAACAGTAACGATCTGAAACATCATATAATAGTAGCACTACTAATAATAATACTCTCTGGCCAGGCCGGGAAGGCCTGGCATCCTGGCAGAAGAGGCGGAGCTTGTCGAGTTGATCACCGTTGAAGCGCTCGTTGCGGTCGTGGTCTGCAAACGGATGGCGGGGGAGTTTAGGGTTTAGGGTTGACGAGGTTTAAGGGATTAGGGTTCAGGGTTTAGGGGTCCGGGTATAGGGGTTTAGGGGTACAGCTGTTCAGGAGTTAGAGTTTAGGGCGAATTTTGTGGAGAGTCGCCAAGGCTTTGGCTATTATCCTCAATCCTCTGTAACCGTGTGTCCACACAGTGATGTAGCAATGTAGTATGTTGGGAGATTGACTTGTACAGCGCAAACACACTGCAGTATCGAACAGCAGAGTCGCCGAATGAATGGCAACAACAAGGAAAAGTCTCGCCAGCAACTGGCCATTTCGGCACTTCTCAAGACAAAGCCGCGGCTAAATGGCGCTAAAGAGTTTGAGGGTTGCGCAAGTCTTGTTGGATCTTGTTGGCTTCGCTGTGTCTACAAGCTGTTATGGCTATCTTGATGTGCGTTGATAACGGCTCGTAGTTCGCACGAACCTTGGGATTCAAATCCTTGCCATACCCGTTGCCACACAAGGCGAATCGTACCTTCCCCTGGCCTCGGTGTAACAGCAGTCGGTTCATCACTGCGTGGCAACCCACATTCTTGGAATGTAACCACAATGCACAGCACGGAGACCTAGTTACACTTGCGAGTCTGACAAGTCTTTCACACCGAACAGTCCTAACACTCCACAAACCTGACGCGTTCGAGCTGTCGGCGCTTAGCTTAGGATGCTTTATCCTGCATTCTGCCTTGCCCTCGTCGTAGGTGATCTTGCCTACTACGACAACGAGAAATCTGGACAGTACAGCTCTGTATGTGTGTATATGTGTGTGTATATATATATATGCGCATACATACATGCATGCATGCATGCATGTATGTGTGCGTAAGCATAAAGAAACCACACTCTCCTCCGGCCTTTGGGCTGCAGGAAGCGGCAGTTTCGCCCCAAGACCTGTCGCAGGCTTTCGGGTTTGATTTACAAAACAGGAGAGCGATTTCAGATTCGAAGCCTAACTTCGCAAACATTGCAAACACTCAACTGACCAATCAATCAATGAATCACTGAATCAGTCAATGTGGCCTCACACTTTTGGCTTCTACGGGCTTGGGACTTGGATTTTGGGCAATGTGGCTTCGCGCGCGCCCCAAGCCGAATCGCAAGATCTAAGCCCAAAGCCCCAAACCGAACACCTTAATCCCAAAACCCTCAAACTTAAACCCTGGTTAAACCCCTAAAAGCCCCAAGGCCCTGGGGCCCTAGGAGACCCGCTGAGGCCCTTGGCCCACTCGCGCTGGTAGCCCGTCCGTTCTTCGAATCCGTGGGAGATCCAGACCAGGGGATAGTCCTGCAAAGCAGAGGGTTGAGGGGCTCCAGGTTCGGGTTTAGGGGTTCAGGTGTTTCGGGCGTAACTGTAAGGGAAGTTTACGGATTGGGGTCTAGGGGGTATGGGGGTTTAGGGTTTAGTTTAAGGGTTTAGGGGGCTCAGGGTTTAGGGGTTCAGGGTTTGGGGCCAGTCTCAAGGTTTGGAGGCTTGGGGTTTGGGGAAGTTTTGGGATTGGGGTTTACGGCTTAGAGTTGTTGGGTTTAGGGTGCAGGGCTTCTCAGAGTTTAGGGTTCAGGGTGTAGGGCAGTCCTACAAATTCAACCCAAGGTAGCGTTGCCCGTCAGCTTGTATACGGGTTTCATGAAGGTCCTCTTCTGGAAGGGTTTTTGTGAAGGCTGTGTAAGGTTTTTTGACGGTTGGGGCCCCCAAATCATCTGGGAAAGTTGCTTTGGAGTGGGTATCTCCATAGGACGAAAAGGGTAGTTAAAGGCTTCCAGAAGTGCCGCCTAGATAAAGCCTGACAGCAGCTGCAGGACATAAGCTACGAACGCAAACAATGAGAACCACAACGGTCACAAGTGAAAGGGTCAAAACTTCGGATAACGATGATGTTGCGCATAATGCACGAATGACGACGGGTACCTGGGCGATAGGCCGGGTGCGGCCTCTGCGTGAAGTGTCGGCACTCGAAACTTCTGACTCTGTTGTAGTAGGTCTGGAACATGAGCAGACTACCGGAACAGGTGTGGAACGTGAATAGAACATTGATGCTGTGCTTTCTCCTCATGGCCCATTACTACCATGCGGTCTCCGAGTAGTACTCGCTAGAGAGCATGAGCCATTCTTTCAAGCAGCGTCTCCTCCCCCATGGGATCAGCCACGGCCATGACGACGTCATCCTCTGCGCCCTGACAAACAATCTGTCCGTCAGGGGGACCGGGAGGTTGCTGAGATTTGGGAATTCTTGCAGTAAGGATCCTGCAATGACTAGTATCATGTACAGTAGGGTCTGTGTTCATGGGGTTTCTTCTCTTGTGAAACTCTCATCCAACCAAGCCTTCCAAGCATGTCAGGGCTTCGAAACTCGAAGGTTGGTGTGAATGGCTCTCAGATGATTCTGCCCCGGGTCTATGCTCCTCTGAAGGAAGATATTGGGTGTGGGGGTTTCGACTTCCCAGCCCTCTTGCGTTAGCGGCTTTATGTTTGAGAAAGTGGAATGACATGACACGGCTCAAGTTTCAAGTTTCCTGCAGTTACTGACTGTCACGGCCCAGGCCCAATCTCTTGAAGGTCGAAACGTCCTACCACCCCACAGCCACATATCCCGAGTAGACCCTTGCGAAAACCCTACAGACGGTTATAGCGGCGAGGCTCCAAACTCGAAGCCCTGGAAGTCCAAAACCCCAAAACCCCAGAGCCCTAAACTCGGAATGCTCCCTGCTCCGCGCCCTGCCTTTCCAACCCAGTCTGGTCGTTCCTCGGCGGATTTTGACTTGCTTGTAGAGCTCCGTTTTAAGGCTTAGTATTGTAAGAGGTTCTGTAAGGGGCTGTAGAGTTGTAGGATCTAGGGTCTTAAGTTTTCAGGGATGAGGGATATGCCTGTGTAAATAGTTGTTCATAAGGTTTACATAGGGCTTGATCTAGCTTAACCAGCTGTAACAGTAACAAGGCTCAATGGGGCTTGATGGCGAAACAGCCTTCAATAAATCAAAGTTGAGTCAGTTTAGTAGTGTTCGGTAAGGTCGAGCTCTCACATGGCTTGCCACAGCCCTTTTCCCATTACGGATGTATATGGGGCCTTCCGACATTGCCTGTTTCTGCGTAGACTAGGGACACAGGATACTGGGGACTTCAACAGTTGAGGCTTTGAGGTTGCAAGGAGCCCTGACAAAGACATCCTAAAAGTCAAGGACCACAGTCCGTAGCTGGACATCATGATGTCAAACAACCTGAGCCGAAAGATAATACCGGTAACTCACCCTAAGATCTTCGCAACAGCCTGTAGTTCAAACACCCGATATTCTTTGAAACGCGAGGATGTACCAACGCACACATATAGCAATGCTCTGAGCCGTGTGCTTTGATTAGGTGCAGCAACCGTCCACCCTAACAGCCCTGTCCCCCAAACCAACAGCACACTGACTGCAGGAAATCACTCCAAGTCTCCAGGAGGCGCCGCACATCCTCCTGCACGCTCTGCAGCAGCGGCTGCAGCTCCTTGGAAAAACTCGGAGGGTTTCGGGTCGGATTATGGAGATGTCTGAAAGAATAATTCGTTCCTGCTTGTGGCTAATGAAAAGATGGATCCCACTATTGGGTCCCTTGTTTGTCCGGAGCTCAAATTGAGGAGGGGCCTCGTTGCGAAGAGCGAACCAGTAGCACTCGAGCAGCACTACTTCCCACGACCTCAAACCCTGAGCCCCAAAAACTGAGCCCTAAACACCGAGTCCTAAACCCTAAACCCTAAGACCTTTGGGAAGCCTGCAAAGTTCTTAGGTCCCTCGCGCCGGATTGCTTGAAGACATGGGCCTCGGAAAGGCCTGGCAGAGCTCCAGGGTAGAGATATCCTTCTGCCTGGTTTTGCCAGCCCCAAAGTGCTTCAAGGGCTTATTGTAGGAAGTTTAGGGTTGAGGCTTAAGGAGTTGTGGGGTTGAAAGAGGTCACGATGTTGAAGGCCTACAGTATGTAAAACCGTCAGCGTTCAATGAGCTCCATAAGCTTCATCATGCGTCGGCAATCTGACACGGTGCTTCTTTGAATTGCATAGAACCCTAAACCCTAAACCCTAAACCCTAAGGATCCAAGATACCGTCCGAAGCCTAGACTCGTCGAGCGCATAGCAGCAGCTGCAGCAGCCGAGGGGCTGCTGGTGCTGATTTGGAACCCAGAGAGCCCAACACCCCCCTAATTAAGGAATATACCTAAAAAAGGAACTTAAACCCTAAACACTAAACCCTAGACCCTTAATATACCTAAAATTATAGGGACCTTAAGCCTTAAACCCTAAACCCTAGACCCTTAATCTTATGGTTTGGGGTTTAGGGGTTTAGGGTGTTTAGGGGTTTAGGGTGTAGGGGTGTAGGGGTTTAGGGTGTAGGGGTTTAGGGTTTAGGGTGTAGGGGTTTAGGGTTTAGGGTGTAGGGGTTTACGGGTTTAGGGTGTAGGGGTTTAGGGTTTTAGGGTGCAGGGGTTTACGGGTTTAGGGCCAAATTTTTGGCAGAAAAATCTACATGCTCAAGACTCAAGAGTCTACATGGCCCGAGTATAAAGTCCGAGAAGTGGCTTCCTTTTCTTTCCGAACCACCCGTATCTATATGATTAAACCTTACCCACGACCAAGCCCAGAAAAGAAGCGCATGTACAGAAGCACTTTCGACAAACTTTCTATGGTTCTTGTTTGTAGTTCCACCGGGCTCGGCTTCGTGGTCATGCAGACACAGAAGTGATGCCTCACAATCCCGGCCTATCTTGGGCACGAAGAGGTCCCCCACGTAGTCCTGGGAGTCTTCTCTTTTTTGGACTTGTCACAACTTGAACACTCATCTTCTTCAAGAACATGCTTGCACAACATTGGCCGTGGTTAGCCCAGCTCTTGGCGCAGGACTTCTACTTCTTCGCATGACCAGTCTCGAATCGATCGACTGTTTTGATCAAACATCCCGCTGAAATTGGTCTTCCGGTACTTGCACACCGACTGCTGCGCAAAAACGGAGCGGGTCCTCACAAGTTCGCAGGAAAGCTGCGAACTGCGTAGAGTAGTGCTCGCAGGCCTTCAAGATTGCTGTGCTGGCTGGACAGGCTGCAGTAAAAGTCTAACTGCGGAAACAACTTTTTGCACATACTGCGAGGTCTTGGTTTCACCTGAGACTCCTTCCAACAAACACCTCGCAAGACAATCTCTCATGACTGCCGCAACTAAACAAAGGCCTTGGGTATGCCAACATCTGTGATCGTCTTCACGAAGGGGTCCTGGCAGGGCTACTGACGGTGACAATAGATAGTGCTGTCAATGTCACACGAACACTGATGGCGGTGCTGTGGTGACAGCAGGACTTAGCGCCTGTTTCTTTACTCGAGCCATGGGCATTTTCATCAGCATCATCGTCATTGCCAACATCATCATTGCCATCATCATCATCATCATCATCATCCGTCATCATCAACACCACCATCATCACCACCATCATCGCCATCATCATAACAATCATCTTAATATCATGCGCACGATCATTGCTATGACTTTAAAAATCCTAACATGATCACGATCATCATCACCACGATCACCACAATCACCATCAACATCAACATCATCATCACCATCATCATCATGATCGTCATCATCACCATCGCCACCATCATCATCAACACCATCATCGCCGTCGTCGTCATCATCATCATCAGCAGCATCACCATCATCATCCATCATGTAATGTCAAACTCAGAACACCTGCATCATCATTCATCGCCATCCACATGTCGTCACCATCATTGTCGAAATCGTCACCAGCAAAACCTCAAAGGTCGTAGTCATCGTTGCCATCACCGTCACTATCATCATGCTCAATGCCATCATCTTCCCGCGCCGCATCATCAGCAATGTCACGATAGTAATCATCATCAGCAGCAGCACCGTCCCTAGGCTATGCCACTTCCAACATTTCCTTCAACAAGTAGCAGCATCAACAACGTACTCGTCCTCACGTTACCACCGTTCTCATGGGCATCATCAAGAACAACGATGGTAGTAAGTCTTCAATAGGAAGTCCTCCCGCTGCTGCCCGAGGAAGACCGCCCATCCTTCCAAAGCCTCACCCACTGACGGAAATTACGAATAGAAGTGCTGATCACTTGTGTTTCTTGATCTAGTAGAGGTCGACGACGATTAGGAGAGAGGTGGCCCCTTGCTGCGGCTATTGTCTGCAACAATCTCACCGGGGCGGCCGCCAAACCCATCTCATCCTCATTCAGCTCAGTGATCTGCAAGGAAGGAAGCAAAGGCATCTGAACCCTAAACACTAAGACCCTAAGCAAAGGCATCAGGCCCCGAGCCAAATGAAGCAAGACAGGGAAGCACTGACAACGAAACGAGCATCGACCCCTTGCCATTCTGAATCGTTTCCCTCTTGACAGCTGCTTGTTGCTGTTGCTGCTCTCTACTTACCGCTCTAGCCAGGATGGGTCGTGCTGCTTGTAACTTTTCGAAGGCAGCGGCATTCAAGCTCTGAAGCCAAGTACATTTCACGAGTCATGAAGTACGGTATACAGGACGCACACCTGAAGTGGTACCCTAGTCAAGAGCATTATATTGAACCCCGCAATGAAAGCTGCAGTCCAACGAACCCGGACAATGCCCTGCAGAACCCACCAACGCACCGAAAGACACAACAGAAGGGGCAGCAATCAGACCGCCTCAAACCCAAACCTTGAATGCCCCTTTTTCCCAATGTCTCGCTATGGTCTATGGTCTCATCAAGATGGAACATGGATGAAGCATGATTAGCGCTGGACTTCCCTTTATGTCGGTAGTAAAATGATGTTCCAAACTTTCCGGCTTCTCGCAGAGGGCGCCTGGTGGGACTTCAAGACGGCCGGCATGTCCAGCTTGATCGGGTTCAGGATCTCGGTGCTTAGGGCCAGGCGAGTTTAGGTTTAGGAACTGAGGGTTCTGGGAGACTAGGGCATACGGCATAGGGTTTGCGAGTTTAGAGTTTAGGGATTTCGGGTTTAAGGGTTCATGTTCTGGGATTTCGGAGTTGAGGGTTTCAATGCTTGCTACGGGTTTTGGGTTGAGGGTGTCTTAGGGTCCAAAAGTTTAGGAACCAGACCGTAAAAGGGGAAGTTTGTGGCAGAGGCACGATTGGAGGTTCACGGCTCGGACTTCCGGAGCCAATAACTACCACCAGGCGCTGACTGCGGTTTGCTCTTGAAATGGCGACTTCTATGTTACTTTTCGTGCCACTATAGCCTCGGATACATGTGCACGCAAGGATCGAATGCGACCGTCGCTGCTATCACTTCGACTTGGATTTCTGCTTTCGTCTCTTACTTTCGTTGCTGTTGATCCGTCAAGAATGTGATGTTGGAAAGTGAAGAAATCAGCCAGCCGTCCCTTATTGCATGCAGCACTCGCGCTCTTTCTGTCGCTTGCCCTCCCCAGAAGCCTTGCCTTCTATAGCATCAGTAGTCGCGTCTTCCATAGCAAGCTGTGAACCCTCCTCATTCAGCTGCCTTGTAGTCCTCTCCCAATTACATGCAGAGATTCATCGCAAGCTCGCATCAGACATACCGTATATCCTGCGGAGCTACAGCTTCTCCGGACCCCCAAGTGTTCCACCGCACATCAAGTGCCCCACTGACAGCAAGTACCCTTTGTCGCTGCGAGGCTCCACGAGGTAGAACCTTGGATTACACGTTTTGCCCGGATTGGAACACGACAGAGTGACCCGCGCTCTTGCCTCCGAAGACAGACCCACTGGGAGTGGCTACACGAGTGCAAAACACAGAGGCGGCTCAAAGGGACACTGTCTTGTGAACTCACGGTGGGCCATCAACCGGGTATGTAGTCTAGTAGCAGAAGAGTTTGCTTCCTGATATACCCCCCTAAGTGAGTTGACAGTGCTAATATCCCCTTGTAGTCCCCCAAAAAACAAAGTCTACCTAGACTCTCGGAGTGTTCTTGGACCATGAACGCCTGAGATTTTCGACCACTTGCGGGCCGCTGAAAATAAGGGTTCGGGGTCCAGGGTCCATGTGGTCCGTGCCTCAAACCACATGTTCTCAAGTTCGAAGGACGTCTCAAAGACTCCCAAAAGCCTTTCTCCCCATCCCCGCCCTCACGATCTACTGCAAGCAGCCATAAGCCTGTTTGGGTACCTCAATCTCCTGAACTGAGGGCATGACGTCTGCTGCAGCGCAAAGAATCGAGATCCGCCCCTCTTCTCGAGGAGAAGGAGACTCACCTTAGAAAAGGGTCGAGGATTTTGGCTGGTCTGGCGCAGGTTTTGGGGCCTTGCTGGGGAATAAGGGCTCTTGGGTTCAAGGGCTAGCGTTCTGGGGTCGATTCTCCGTGGTCCTGTTCTGTAATGAGTAATGTATCGTAGTTGACAATTGCATAGAAATCGACAACAACATGAACAGACTTTGCTTCGTTGCGGTTATGCAGATAATACTAATTGCATTGAGTTACATCTAGATTCTAGATCGCCCACGTTTGCATTTCGCGGCCTTTTCCTCCATCATTTCTTTGAGGACGTGCGCGCAGGTGGGTCAAACCTGAGATAGTTTGTCGTCGGCTACCAACAGAATCTGGGACTGGGCTCACCCCTTTTTGTCTTAATATGTCCACTGATTCGATGACTGATGATGATTGCGGCTGTCAGGAGCAACACAGTGTTTGATCAAGTCACTGGAGCAAGCGGTTTCAAAGCCAGTGCAGGAGTTCGGGTGGCGGGCTAGTAGGTAGGGACGACCCGCCAGGGTTATTTTGGAGAAACGCGGCGGGATATTGCTGGCTGCTCTGCACACCACTTGCTCTTTCAGCCCGTTACAAAAGTGGTGACTCTGGTGACATTCGGGATTAGCTCTGGACTCTACATGGCTGCCTAATCCATCAAATGCACCCATGCAAAGTGCTACGTAAGTGGGAGACCCTTACCCACAAGACCCGAATACTAAACGCCGAAATCACAACCCGGGCTTTGCACTGCGCACAGTGTCTCTCTTTTTCCGACAGATCATCCTGTGCCGCAGTCGAAGCGCGCACTCTTCACGGAGTAGCCGCCTTCGGAATGCAAGTTGGAGAAAGAAGCACAAGCATCATAAAATAGGGGTGGCACATGCGGGCAACAGTAGTGAGAGTCACACACGTCAACATCGCCATGTGGATGTGATCATCCTCAGCACCCGCCGTCGTCAACATCTGCCAATTCACTGCCATCACCATAACAGTGTTGCTGCGTCAGCCGTTTGCAGCAAAGGATACAACCTATCATTGGCACGAATCGTTGCTCGTAGTTGTTATTGCTTTGTTGCCCGGATCCGGGCCAGCTGTGTATCACATTCATTGCTCACGGCATCGATGTGACCTTTTGACTTCACGTCTGCGGAATCCACGGCACTCTACGATGCGGTGGCGAAGCTTGAAACTTTCCAAAGCTTGGTTCACTTCAGCTGAGACACACAGAAACTTCTCGAAGATGCCCTTCTTTTTCTTGGTGCTGTGCGCGAAGTGCGCCAATGACACCGTTCCTGAGAAGCACGCTGGAGAAAAATTGCTGCCAAAGCGGTGGAAACTGTCTGGCCCCCCCTGTTGACCGCCGGGGCATCAGCTGCACCCAGCACAAAACAACGCGGCATAACTAGTTCAGGTTGCTAAGCTGGGCGGCTTTCGATTGAATCTCAGCCGTGTCTCTGCCCGGCCCACTCCGCACGGCATGCCACCAGTAAAGCCTCAGCATGCAACTGCAACCTCAATTTTACCGGATGGTGCTCAGTGTCCTTGCAGAATGCGGGTTGATAGCCATGCACAGCTTATTCACGTGGTCTTGAACAGCGACTACCTCCTTGCAGATGCAAGGCCTGTCTTCCATTGCAGCGTAACAGCATGTGCACTAAACCGTCGTCCACCACCAAAAACTCTTACTGTAAAGATGTATGTAAGATTTTCTATTCGGCAGCCACAGGGCGGCACGTAGAGCCACTGTCCAGCTCGGACTCGGCAACGCCGCGGCACTGCGAAGCGAAAGTAAGGATAGTCCTCGTCAGACATGGAGAACCGAGAAGTGGCCGCAACAGAAACGAAAGTGCATCAAGCAAGCTAGAAGCAGCATACCGCTTCAGCACGCACAAATGGCTCCTCGAAGACGGTAGGGGACCTTTGCATCAAGGAGAACAGTGTGGCAGTGCGGTGGTAGTAGCTCATGGTGAGCAGACACGGTTCGCTGATGGTGGAATTCAATGAACTGAGCATTGTGCTGCCAAGAATCTCGACGTTAATGGGAGAGGCATTTCCATGTTCTCTGTTGCTGCCGTACAGCCTGGGAGGTGATGTGCAGGCGGGAGTCGAAGGCATGAGATTGTGGCCTGCATATACATACGCATGGCAAGCTACAGTTGTGCGGCTTGGAATGGATCGTAGAGCCAAAAGTCCTTCATCCCATCCAACACCTCGCGACATAACCACAAAGATCGCACAGGAATCGCGCTGGGCCCTTCCTTCGGCAAATGCCCACCTGAACTAAATTGTCAGCAGCATCATAGTGCAGGTAGAGGGAGGGGCCTTTCAGGCACGAGCAACACAAGCCCAAACAGGTCAGGTCGGCAGTTGACTATGAAATCATGATAAGTGAGATATGATGTACCTGGCTCGCCACCACCGCCGTGGTAGTAGAGGTATGGAGACGCATCAAGGCTTCCCCGAGTACCATTCCTTGCTTGAGAGTCATGACAGTGACAAGCGCAATCCTAGGCTGCAGGGGTTGCTGCACATGCGTCTTGAAAGCCGACTCTGAAGTACTGGGTCTTGAGGCAGCTTGCTTTGAATTTGAGTATGGGGGGTGTCGGCTGCTCCCTGGAGAGAAAGACAAACATAGCCTAACTGTCCCATGGCAAAAACAGAACTGACAGGCGTCTGCCAAGCTTCTGCCAGCTCCCCCTGAGCGATGGCACAACAGTCAGAGAGACTGAAACACTCACGTCTACCACAGTCAACCAGAGTACTTGTACCTCGAGGAAAGTCGCAACCCAGCGCAAAGCTCTACGGGGACGCTACGAACCGCATCAACCGTGCTGTTTCGCTCCCGATCGCATCACCCTAAAGGCCCTGCGGCTAGTCTCGGACAGCCACCTGCGGACCCCCCCCAATCCTGATTCTGAGGACAGCGCCGCCAGCGACGAGGATTCTTCCAGCTCGGGCAAAGAATTCGGGATGCTCACCTGAACAAATATCAAAGAGAACGAAGCTGAAGGGCAGTATTAGCTAGCAATGACCATCCAAATTTTAGCGAACGAGCCATCAGGACATTTATAAAGATATGCTTTATAAGCGGGTTGAAGCTGCTAAAAAAAAGGGAAGGAGAATATACAATGGACGGATTACATATCAACGCTTAAGTCACCAAGTCCCGCCTGCGCGGCATAGAAGTGTCCAGCCAAAGGCCCTCCCGACAGTGCTTCCGCCAGCGTCGCATTGTGTTTAACCGCCTTCTTGGAGACTTGGCCACCTGGTACTGGTAACAGAGGGTTTTGTTTTAATGATCAGAATAGGCACGATCTCGCAAGACTGTTGGTAATTACATGCAGTCAATCCTTGACGATAGCCATGTATGTCCAAGGTTACAGCAAAGCAACTCTGCTCTGAATATCGATGCTCTTGCTGTCCGTGCCATTTGTCAGTATTAACTTAAACAGTTTTACTCAGTAGTGGTCGTACAGGCGCAACGGTACAAGTACTGGTGGTAGTAGTGATACTGGTGATGGTAGTAGATGGCAGTAGTCGTCGTCGCAGTCGGCGTCGTAGTGGTGGTGTTGCGAGTATCGTGGCCGTCACCATCAGACTTATACTTTGTCGTGTCATCGTTGCAACTACTGGGTCGGGGGTGGGAACTACTTTCCTGCCAGTTATATTCGATGTTGTGCCGTGCCGTTGTCTTCTCTGACTGCCAAAGCCTAGGATCCAAACTGTCAGGCCAAGATTGTGGGTGCTACAAGGAGCCGCGGTACATTGGCCATGTATTCCTATGTCATCCTCTGGGAATGATAACATAATGCATCACCCCAAAAACCGTTGATGTGATTCCGGCTATTTGCGCTCCCACGATCTACCTGGCAGCCCAATGCTGACACTTGCTGGCCACCTGGAGACATCTGCCTGCCGAGCAAGACAGCTCAGAGGCCACAGATCTGGGTTTAGGGACTGAGGGCGGATGGCGCAGTACCGTTGCAGACTTCTTCCACGGGATATCATTGTGGCCTACATGGCCTCAACCCTAACAAGCCTTAACAGCAAGCCTTGTTGCTTCAAGGAATGGTTCATCGACACTGTAGCAGTGGTCGCGCAGCTGCCTCTGAATCAAGAAATCAACCTTTCTGTGAAGCCAAAAGCAAGCGCACCCTAGACCGTTTTCAACCCTAAACCTGTCCTCAGCTCCACCGCGCGGTGTCCCAGAGTTCGCAGCTTGTCATCAGTTAGCCTTCAGCAAGCTCACCGCAACCGCCGAAAATGACCAGGATAGCGAGACGAATGCTGCTCTACACCACTGGCTGGGTGGAACAAAAATGGTGCTGCCCTAGACCTTAAACCCTGTAAGGCCTCGGGGCTTTGGGTTGGGGTCCAGGTTTTGGGTTCAGGTTCTGTAACTGCAGGAGTTCCATTTTGCAGCTCCTCCCTGTACGGGAGTTTCAGACCTAACATCGACCGAAAAGTGAAAGGGTCCTTATGATGTGGACCCCTTCATGCGCAAAACACGAAATCGCTATCTGGAATTGCACCCAAAAGCTCTGTGAGGCCTTCGGACGTCGTCTGTGCACCCAAAGCCAGAACCCCAAAACCTTATCCAACCCAAATGGGGGTTTCCGAAAATAGGGGACCCTAATATATAGTACCCTAAATAGTAGGATCCTTATTATAAGGACCCCAAAATAAGGTACCCTAATTTTCGGAAAGACCCAAATGGATCTTGGAGTCCAACACCGAAAAACTTATAACTTCAGGTCTGGCAGAAGCAGTCATGCTGCATGCCATTGCTTTTGATGGATCTCGGATTAGGGCGCTGACAAGGGGCTGAAATCTCCCCATGTAAAGATGCATGGGTTTACGGTGTGGGCTGAGTATCGTGATATATCGTGATACTGGTGTCCGGCACACGATCCACGCGACCCAACTGCATCAGAACAAACAGCCGAACAGCAAGCAGACCAGCAATTACTTTGTGTCGCAAGAGCAGGGTGGCTGAGCGACATACACCTGGCAGCCCGATGGCGGAAGTAGCAACAATGCTCTCTGAAGGCTGGCCAGCATAATCTCTTCAACCCTATAAACCCTAATCCCTACACCGCCTAAACCCCTACACCCTATAAACCCTAGTCGCCCTTGATGTCCAGCTCCGTATGTGCCGGAAAGACCCACTCTTCTCGAGTCTTCGGAGGATTCTGCGAGAATCTTCCCCGGACCCTGAACCCTAAAGCTCTGACCCCTGAGGCCCTATAGAGCCCGTTAGAAGCCCAATATAGGGCTCTGAAAATTTAGCCGTTTTCCCCTCCAAGTTCCTATACAGCTATGCTACGACCGACCCCAAGACCCTCTTCGGCTTAGTCAGGCCCCGACATTTCGCCGGGTCGCTGGGGCATCCGATGTGGTGGGACTCCGGTCAGGCGAAGCGGCACATTGCGCCAGAGATGCTCGGCCAAAGCGGACTGGGCTGCCTCGCGGTCGAAGAGGAAAGCTGCAAGGGCTCTGGCTTGGGCTCTTTAAAAGGCTGCGGGCTGGGGTTCAGGGCAGGTGTAAGGCTTCTAGCATCGCAGCCGCACGAACCGACTCTCTCACTCCCTAAACCCACTGACCCAAGAAGAACCCTTTTCCAGAATTCCCTGCAAGCCGCAAAAAAAGTCCTCACAAGAAATCAAGTCTTTGCTGCTTGCGTTCGCGATGCAGGTGAGCCATGCCTTCCAGTAACTGGGCCCCCGGCTGCTTCGTGAGGTGGGGACGGGAATGTATGCAGCTTGCTTTCGACATGGCGACACCAACTGCAATCCAAAGCAAGGCAAGCTCTGGCGCAGGTTTTCGACGATGTGACGGACATAGTCATGGCCGCAGGCAGTAGAAACCTTCAATGCCCCAACCCCCGAACTCCTCTGTTTCTGGACACCTAGGCCTAAACTCTCTACCCTTTATGCTCTAGACTCTGGATCTGCAGCCCTGCACATTCAAGGAAGTTCAAACGAAATTCCAGCCCTGAAGTCGTTGAGGACGGGTCCAAAGCCAGACAAGAAGAAGAAGGCCAAATTCGCTTTAAGGGGGTGCAAAAAACGAAGAAAACCGAGTGGACTAGTGTAATATAGTTGAATCTCTCTTCTAAAGCGAAGAAATGAACAACAACGTCTTCTCGGACACACAAGAAGGAGAAGTCAGCCAAACGAATTCGGAAAAAAAACAATGATTACGTAAGTGTATGTCTTTTCAGTTGAAGATTCGGTGTTTCGGTCTTGGGTTCCGCGGAGAGTTTAGAGGCCACGATCAAAGTGCAAGTTAAATGTTGCTAGCTTGTACAAGCTCTGGGTTACAATCAAATTGCAAATTCGTTGCGAGGTCTGAACTAAACAATTATTCAAATTGCAAGTTACTGGTTCGCTGGGTATAGGTTTAGCCCTTAGTACTAGTACTCCTACTATTACTCGTATTCATTCCGCTTATTATTCCTCTTACTGGTACTAGTATGCTTGTTATTGGTACTAGTAGGCTTCCCCTTACTAGTACGAGCATTCCTCTAAGAAGCATTCGTATTCCTCTGAGTAGTACCAGTAGTCTGCTTATCGATACTAGTATTCCGCTTATTAGTATGGTATTCCTCTCATTACCACCCTTTTCCTCCTAAGAGTACTAGCATTCGTCTTGCTATTTCTAGTACTCGTATTCCGCTTGTTGGTTATAGTATACCTTCTACTAGTACTATTATTCCGCTTATTAGTACTAGTATTCCGCTGATAAATATTAGTATTCCGCTTATCAATACCAGAATTCCTCCCATTGGTGCTAGCTAGTATTCGTGTTTGACTGAAAACCCTGCGCAGACAATTGATAGTCAAGGTTCGGTGCCCTGCAGAAGCCGTTAGTTTGCAAGTTAATTGTTTGCTTGCACTTGTCTGATTCAAGGCTCCTGGTTCTGCAGAAACGATTAACGCGCAAGTTCATTCTTTGCAATGCCATCTAGGGTCCAGGTCGCAAGCTCCGTGAACTTGCAAGTTCATTGTGTGCAGGAACATGTTGGGTTGAGGGTTCGAGGGCCCCATGGAAACTATTAATTTGCAACTTAATCGTGTCGTTGCTGCAACCTTCCAGAGCTTCGCATCTGCAACACTTAACTTTCGTTGTAATTGACAAAGCACTTGACGAAATCACTGCCTTCCCCTGACTGTATAGAATAGACCTGCACTAGACTGCCACACTGTGAGAAGACGCAAGAAGGTTGGCGTGTAGGCTGAATCGAAGCCGAACGCCCTCTTGCGAACACGTCCCAGCTCTGTTGGATTCCGTGTTCTTGTTGGTGTTCTTGTGTGTTGGTTCCCTTGGGTTGTTGCACCATTGAATGGGGCCCACCTGCAAGCTTGCACGGTTTGTGTTTTCTCTGAGTTCCACTAAATATGCGTTGTATGGAGGGCTGGGTTTCGAACTGCAGTTCGGATTTGCGGGTCGGATTGGCTTTCGTGGGATTCCCGGCGATTCGGTTCCGGTTTTATTTTTGGGTATTCGGTTCGACATTCATGCTCCGGCTGAAGAGCGGGTGATGAGCAACAAGTTTCATGAGTCTTCGCCGTTCTCCAGCGCAGCAGGAGCTGCACAACCGACCCAACGTCATTGACGAGTTGGTTGGCTGCAATCAAGACTTTCGAAGACTGGACCAGCGATCTTTCTTGCTGCTGCCCTCTGGAGCCGCGACTTTCTGAATGTTTTTGTTAGGTACAAGGGCAGCAAAGCTCTGCTCACGAGCATCAAGGTTTGCGCCTGTCGGCTTTGATGTATTTGTTCTCCGTTTTTCTGTGCATGTTCCCCTAAGGATGAAGCATCAGTGCTATATTCCGAGAAGGATACGCTCTGGCTGGAGGAGATGGAAAGAGCAATAATCAGCCGGCACGGGAAAACGACGGACCTTGTTTTTGCAGGACAGTGTCATGCGAATCCAGCTGGAGGTCGCGCCTGAGCTGCTTGCCCGAGCCCGGATACGATTCCTGTCAGCGCATGTTTTGGTCTCGAGTTGGCACATTGTTACAGCAAGGCCGTGTTTGCCACTGGCTTCGTTGTAGCAGTGCGCGGCGTGGCGACACAGGCGCCGGAAGCATGTGACGGAAACAGCCGTTATTGAATCACCTCTCGGAGAATGGGGATGGTGAGCTAAACGTACCAGCTTCACAACATGTTGAAAGCGGTTCAGGCTGGGACCCTTAGAACCATTGGTGTGCAGATGCCGAGGACGCTCCGCTTCGCAGACACCGGCTTTGTTGTTGAGTTCTTGTTCTGTGAAGGATGCCGGTGGTACCCGTGATTTCTCCGCATGGGGCCTAATGGCACTGTGCTTGTGATCCCTGACACGCACAATCGCAGGTCACAGACGAAGGGGCCGGGATCCGAGAAAGAGCGTTGGGCAGTCGCCAAGCCGAAGTTCAAGACCGGATGCTTTGAGGTCATACATTGCCCTTGTGTCTGGCATTGGATTCGGCGACGATAGGAATGTGGAGGCCTCCGGTCCCCTCACTCCCACTTCCGGCGAAGAACCGCATGCTTCTTGCATGCAAAACCTGCAGGCACGAAGAAAAGCCATCGATTTCCTGTGCAAGGCTTCGGTCTGTGGCATTCCGTTTTGCAATTCGCGGCGTCGCGTTCTGCGACGCTTCAGGCCACGGGGCCGGCCGTCGAGCAAGTCGTGCTCTGTGCCGCTCTCGGAGCCATGAGACACGACGAAACGTGGGGCTTCGAAGAGTGTCGGAGTCGGAGTGCCATGAGCAAAGTTTTGCAACGGAGCTCTTCAGCATGCTGTCATTTCAGTGCTCCCGCTGCGCACCCACGACCAAGGCGGTGGCTGCTTTGCACCAAGCTGTCAGCTGGATGGCGATTCAAAGGTGCCTGGCTGAGTTACAGCAATTTTGTTAGTTATCCGCTAAACATCACATCGGTAGAGTCCGCTAGAGCTCCATCTGCATCTTCTGGGGCTGAGAAACAAGGTAGGCAGCTGACTTGCTGCCCTGCTGTAAATTACACGATGTTCGTATTTGGGACTTGAGTTTGGAGATGCCCGGAGTTACAAAAAAGTTGTGCACGTCTCAGAACGGATTAGAACATGAAGTCATCATGATTGGGCCGCGGATGCTCCATTTTCACAACACGTTCCACCCTGGACGTCATATGACGGCATCATGTTGGGCCAGCGGATGCTGTTTTTCAGAAAAATCATGATGTCCATTGTCTGAGTCAAGGAATGCACTACTTCGTTGCCTGTGCGTGGAGGCGCACGGTCAGTGCGTTGTACTTGCGGCCCATCGCATTGACCGTGTGCCTTAGAATGGTTATGAGATTTACAATTCACCCCTGGAGTGTGACAAGGCAACCATGGTCTCGACTGCAATGATGGTTGCAGGGAAGTTCAAGGGCAGTACGAATTGTACTGCTCTTTGTATTTCCTTGCAGCCACCTGCCTGACACGACGTTCTGTGTCAAAGGTGATCGACCTGGTCTGATTCAATCAACGATAGAAAGTTCATGTGCAAGACGAGGTGATCAAGCAACCCAGACCCACGACCGTCCCGTCCTACGTGGTGATCGTGGGTCTGGGGTGTTTGTCATTGTTTACGACAGGACTGCCGAGAGCTTGCGGAGCGGCTCGGAAAGCCGCCCGAGCCGCTACGCGAGCTCTCAACAGTGATCCTGCCAGCATCTGTGCCGGCCTGGATATCGGAGATCTCAGAAGAAAAAAGATGTGCCTCTGTCTGTCATTGCCTGTTATACTGACTATATCCTGTCAATGTTTGTAGATATTATTGCATATCTGTCTATGTCCGATGTCTGTCAAATGTATGTATATGCAATGTATATGTCTATTATCTAATATAAATACAAATAAATAAATAAACAAATCTAAACATAAATACATAAAAAAAAAATATATATAGATATATGTGGAGGAGTTGAAGAGCTTTCTATGCTCCGACAAGCAGCCCCTAGGTTAGGCAAGGTTGAACAAGTCACCAATCAAAGCATCAGAAACAGCAAACCCATCGGCAACACCGAGCGAAAACTGCAGCTCCGGCATACAATGCTGACCAAAGCGTAAAACAGCTCGAGTTTTTGACCCGAAACAAGCGGCAAAAAACAAGCAACATCAACATAAACACTTGAAGGCATCCGTAGCAAAAGCAAAAGCCACAACAACAAGGTCAGGAAAATGCGCATTGCAGAGCAAAACAGAGAAGGAGGCAACACACAAAAACAGCGTCGGTCGGGGCGGCACGTCAGGCGGCTGGCAAAAGCAACTCAAAGGGAGTATGCCATGCTTTGATTAGGAGCTCGGCCTTTCTTGTCGGAAACGGAGGTTGGCTCATCCTGTATTCTTAAGACTTCTTCTTAAACGTTCAGAGGTAAGAGCAGTCGTACAATGCCCATTCTTGCGCCGAGGCTATAACGGCGGCACTGAAGCAGATGGACAGCGAGCTGCTGCCGCTTGTAGAGGCTAAGCCTGTCCAGGCGCAACATCACCGAAGGGCCGGGGGCATTTTGCAACTAGAAGCATGCTTGTTCACATCTACAGTATCTACAAACAAGAGGTACCGTAGGAGGAAGGTCGGAGGAAGGTGATAGAAGAGAAACAAGCCCAAACTGAGTTGAACCTGTTAATTGCGACATTTACCGTGTCACAGGTTATGCCAAGCTATGGAGAACCGACGAATGCAAGCATGCCTCAGCTGCCGCGGCCTCCTCAACGGGCCGATGCTCTCTGTGCAACCTTGTTTCATGGCTTTAGCGAGCAGGTTTCATCGAAGCCTCTTCGGTCAGCTCTCCTCGTCTGCGGGCTTTCGGCCTATGGGCACGGCCCCTGGCACATCCTGGCAGCCTGTCTCTCGGGCTAATTCTCTTTCAAGGCAACCCCTGCAGCCTCAACTTCGACGGCTTGGAAGTGCTGGGGCACTCTGGGGAGCCCATCAAGGAGAGCAGAGAGCCGCCCACAGCACAGCCGACGTTTTTCCAGTCCAGGATCTGCTCCGCTCTGCACAGCTGGAGCCCATGGAGGCACTGAAGAAGTGCCTGGAGGCCTCGGCATCCTCTCGGCCTCAGCTTCGGCTGATCTCTCAGAGAGCTCAGTGGACTGAGAGGCGCGCCACTTGGCTCCCACTGCGCCGGACACGTGCTCGGCCCAGCTAAGCCGCTAAGCGATTCCTTTGCCCAGCTCAGCAAAAACTTGGCACTGAGCCTCAGAGAGCAAGGCTCCTGACGCAGCCCTTCGAAGACTCGGACCCCTTTGTTTTGGAATCCGTCTTGCTCTCAGCCCGAGTCTTCCCCGAGTCTCCCCGAGTCTCCGGTTTGCCGAGGTTCCACACATCCTCTTCTCTGGTGGCCACGAAAGAGCTGCGGCAGCTCCAGAGACGAAGCGTCCGTGCTTTCTTTTCTGGCCGAGTGACACGTCTAAGGTGCACCACTGGCATCCGTGCGTCCGCGGAGGAGGAACCCAGCGGCTTGGAGGCTTTTGTGGAACCTTTCGGAGGCTTCTGGAGCTGGCTACTGGGATTGGCTACTGGGCCTGGCCGGGTCCGAGGTGCATCTGCGTCCCGGCGTTCCACTTGCATCCCGCTCTTGTCCTCATCAACTTGCGAGACCCTCGGGACGTGCGAATTGAGGCCTGCGGACAAGCAGTTCGTGTGCCTCGGGACGAGAATAAGAGCACCACCCTGAGAGGAATTTTCGGCGATGCAGATGTGATCTTGAAAGTGAGCGGGGCCCGGGGCATGCGGGGAGGTGCTTTTCACGAAAAGCACGCGGGAAGCATGCCGCCAAATGAATCTGAGTAGCCTCATGACGGTCATAACGATGGTTGAAAGCAACCATCACTTCGGCGGGGGAAGGGGTCTGGGGTATCCACGCTCTGACGGAAAAAAGTGAGCTGAGTGACCTGGGAGTTCTTCCAAGACAAGTCTATTGACTCCTAAAAAGCGCAGGAGGATCAGACCAATATGTCATGAGAGTTAATTGCTACCAGCAACTAGGCACGCACGGGATCGCTCCTGCAAGTAGTTCGTCGTGGTTTGGGAGCTTGGCTTTCTACCAGAGCGCGGCCCAAGCGCCGCCGGGGGGTAAGAATCGCGGGAGAAGCGACTATCACTATCCCGTTGATGGAGAAGCTTGCACAATATCTTGTTCACACATGTTCGTGCTTCTTGCCGATGTCTGCAAAAATAGACTGTGATGAGCATAGCAACGGCCTTTAAGTGGGTTTTGCCCGCCTTTTGTTTGAGCATTGTGACTGTTTGAGTTGCATTCCAGACAGAAGGTTCTGCGTCAGGGTGTATGTTTGAAAGGTCAGTCGCCAGACGCGTTTGGCTCATGAAACTTAGCGGGTCAGATGAAACCACTGTGACCATCTTTCTTGCACCCGTGAGCAGCTCATGAGCTAAGTACAGCAACGCGATGAGAAAAGAGGCCTGGGTGTGTAGTTGGAAGGTCACTCACTCCCATGAGGGAAAGACTTAAGGGAAAGACATCTGCTCAAACTGCTAGACTCTGCTAGAGAATGCAGATTGTGTAGGGTGTTGCTGGAAGTTATTGGCCTGGCTCATCATGCCGCGTGCCAAGAGATTATGAGCTTCTTGACATGTCTGGTCCTGCTGCCAATGCCCCTCTAGGTCTTGCTTGGGATTTGCCCTGGCTTCTTCACGTCTTGTCGGCAGGGGGTCGCTGAAGGCAGCATGTTCAAACAGCATCCTGCAGTTGAGATCTGAGGGCTCTCCGGACAGGTGGGAAACAATGCTCCCAACCAGTGGCGCCTGGACAAGAGTGACGTTTCCGCCTGAGAGTGAAGTGTCTGAGGTAAGGCAGCTCGGGATGTCGCCGAGGCTGAAATCAGGAAGGAGGCGCAGAAGCGAGCGAGGCAGAGCTTCCCGGAGCGACCTCGCGTGTTTCTGGACATCGAGGACGGGCCGATCCCGTGATGGCGACGTGTATCAGTGTCTGATGTGTTGACAAGCATCAAACATGTCATGGCAAGGTCGGCACGAGTTGTGTGGTCGCTTGTCGCAATGCTTCGATGAGTCTTGAAACGTGTAGCGATGCAGATGGCACGCAGCGATGGGATTCGGGATAGTCTGCAATCTCTACAAGATGCCTGCGGCAAGACACATGATCTGCTCAGTTCGGACATTGCGCAGGTGGCTGGTCATCCGGCAGTGCGCATCGTCTGACCCGTGGCAGCAAGTGCAGACTATGAAAGGTTTGGCAAACCGCGGCTTCTGAAGGGGTTCACTTCCCTCAAGATCATCGAGTCTCTGCTCGAAAGCTGAGGTGAACTGTTCTCGGATCTGGTCCCCAAGACGGCGCGGTGCTCAGCATTGGGCCTCATTGTCCAAGCTTCTGTTGCCGGATCTTGAGTCCTTTTGGGGAGAAGTGCAGTGGAAGTAGAAGGCATCATTATTGAAGACTTTGCTGCTTCATGGCTAATTGAACCAGCCAGCGCCCGTGCAATGCCTTATGTCAGGAATACGCTTGACGCACAATGGTGAATGCCATTTTGGCTTAAGCTGATTGTGTCCCTGCACACGAATTCTCGAAAAAACTTCCCATCGCTCGCCTTTGCTCGCCATGGCCGCACCAGCTACCCCCGCTGATGCATGGCCTGTTGCCAAGAGGCTTTGGGGGCACAGGTATTGCGCCAGATGTAATATGGAGAAGTTCCGAAGGTGGGCGGTGGTGCTGGATGCACAAACGAGCCTGGAGCAGGCCCGGGCTGCAAACACGAAGCTCCAGGAAAATGGCGCGCTCCGGCGCAAGATCCTGGCCCCCAATCGATTCGATCCAGCTTTAGGGGACGAGCTGACAAGGCCATGGAGAGCAACACGTTCCTGCTCGAGCACGCTCTCTGTGAGCTGGGGGTCTACGTGGACATGCGGTCCCTCACCACGACCTGCTGCCCGCTCACCAAATCCCTGCTCCAACCCCTGTGGGCTTGGAAGATGGCGTGCTAGCCTAGACGTTTCGCAAGCCCGGAGCCCTGATCCGCTCGTTGATCAGTGCTCGTTCTATTTCAGGACCCCCCACAAGCAGAACCCCCCTTTTTGGGGCGGAGTGGACTGGAATGAGGCTGGCTGTCCATGGCTGTCCATGGACCCCTGCTTGGACAACTAGAAGGTCGGCGAGGTCGGGGAAGAGGGCCACTGTTGGCCTTCGTCCAATGGTCCCCGAAGCGCCGCATCGCGACCCTGGAGATGCTGGGGACGCTGGTCCTCGTTGAAAATTTAGAATTGATCAGGACGAGCTCCGAGCGCCTTCCCATCATTCCCCTACTCTCGGGCAACCAGGGAAAAAACTACTCTCTCTTCGACAGCAAGGCCAGAAAGATGCCTTCGGCGGCCATTCTCATGGAGCTTATGCTCCTTTTGCACCGCAAGGGCTGCACTGCTGCACTCTGGCGCCTTCTCACGTGAAGCGGGATTTCAACCAATGGGCTGACGAGCTCACGCACCCGGACTACCCGGGCTTCGCTTCGGATCATCGTCCCCGTGTCAACCGCCCACGGAAAGGCTTTCACCTTGTTTCCCTGGTGCCGGAATCCGATTCTTAGCTTGTGGCACCGAGAGTTTCCCCACCTGCTGGCTGCGATGCGGGACTTTCTCGCCAGGCACATCAGTGCCACACCGTTTTCGGTTTTGGACTTCACAGCGGGGCTTGAGGCTTTGGGATTTGGGAGCCTTTGGCCCCGACTCGTTCGGGGACCCCCCGCGCATTGAAAAGACGGAAGTGTGGGTTGTTACTTTGGGGTTCCGTTGTCCTTGTCGGTGTGAAAGATACCGAAGCAGGTTATATGGACTGTGCAGCAAAAGACCTTTTGTGCTCTGCTGCTTTGCTCCGCCCAGGCCGAGAACTTCCGCTGTCTCTGCACTGGGGAAAAGGGCCTCGGGGAGCTATCGGCTGAGCGAGTTTGACAAGTGGTGTCTGGGTGGCTTGAAAAGGCCTGCTGGTTTTGTTTCTGGAAGGTTTGGCACACCGCTGCACCTGAAGGGCAACGCCTTTCATCGAGTGGGGATCCTGGAGAGTCCCACAGCAAAGCGACAAGAAGTGTCACGAAACGGCGCCCACGAGGTGGTGCCGGGTTTTGCCATCCAAGGCCACATCTTGTGCCAATCCGAGAAGGTCCTGTTTCTTTGAGCGCAGGTGGCGACATAACAAGAGGTGACGGAACAGGTGGCGAGTCTGCCGGGAGCATCAGAAGAGCAGCAGTGGACGGGAGAGCCAAGTTCGAGCCAGAAGGTCTACGGCCCAACCTTCGAGGACGAGAGCTTCGACGTCTCCCACGACGCGGCAGGAACGTTTCGCATTACGGGGACGTCGGACCTCCTCGGACCTCGGACCTGGCCCCTCACCGGAGAGGGCTGCTGAGTATGGCGAACCGGGGGCCAAACACCAACAGCTCCCTCCTTACCGCTTCCTCTTCAGTCTTTTTGCTGTGGACAAAGGCGCTGAGAAACGGGTCTTCTGTCGCTTCAGGCTCTCAGTTCTTCATCCTGACAAAGGTGGGGGCCCAATTCAGACCACTTCAGACTTCGTGCTTGAGACTTGAGACGTGGCTCCAGCCGGAGGCCTATCCGAAGCTGGATCTGAAGCATGTAGTCTTTGGGCGGGTGGTTGAAGGCATGGGCACAGTACGGCGCCCCTTGCCTTGGAATGCAGCAGAAAAAATCCATTTCGTAGATCGGTGAAGCTTGTACTGTCCAAGGTATCGAAGAAACCTGCGGCACTGCGGATGCGGGATCCGAGCTCTGCCAATGTCTCAAGGGGCCAAAACTGGTGTGCTTGGTGTGCAGTTCACACTGCCAGGCCGCTCACAAAAGCATCACGGTGTGCTGGCGTTCCGGTCGGCCTTGCACCGGCCTTGGTTTGCTGACATCTCGTCTTCTCCTGGCTAAGGCCGGGTCTTGGTGATGCAAAGGCCGTCATCACGAACTGCGGAGAGCTCCAGGATCCAGCAGCCTAGAGATCGTTCGTGGAGACGGTGCTGCTTTCCTCCAGGAGGGTGAAGAGAACCCAGAGGAAGCACCGGCCAAGAAGCTCAAGGCTTCCGCCGAGAAGGCCTTTGCTTGGCTTCATCTGCTTTCGACGCCTTGGCAGCCTTAGCAGTTTCGCAGGTCCACCTGTACCACATCTTAAAGAAGTACAAAGGGGCGAGAAAGCCCGAAACTTGGCGAGGTGAGGCGGTCACCTGCTCGAAGGGCAAGGCCCGGGCGGCAGAGCCTCTGGCATGGGAGCTCGACTCGCGGTACTCGCGGACTTTCGTGCAGGCAAAGGTAGCCTTGGAAAACCTCCGGAAGCGGGTCACGGCAGCTCCGGCTATGCAGCAGCTTGGCCTGGGGAGGAGTCTAGAGTACCCAGAACCGTAGCAACTCACACCTGCCCACTCATGTTGTGACCGTAGCCGGACTGCATGTAAGTGAGATCAAATCGCATGCTGGACGCGAGTCCCTAATGTGTCTTGCAAAAGCTGAGCACTGGCGGGTTAAAACTCCCAACACTGCACGTCTCGTTGGTCATCCGCATGTTGACACGATCAAGTGTCGTTGTGCTTGAGAGTTGGCCATGCTGAGTTGCGAAATCAGTTCGACATTCTAGCAGACTAGTGGTTCATGTGAAGAATGAGCGGACAAGCAGCTGTCGGTAGCAGGCCTCATTGCATCATAACCTAATTTCAAAGGGTTGTCCGCAGTCTGCTTTGTCACGTCTTCTCCTTGTTCTTGGTAGCTCCAATGCTCGCAGACCTGCACATTCCATCAATGGTACATATCAGGATGCTGAAGACTAACCACTGCAAGCTTCGAAGATAATTTTGTTTGTCTCCTGGCCACCTGGCTTGCCAATGGCTGCGCAGACTCGCACCGGCCCTCACCACCCGGATCCTTGTCCATACGCTTCCAGGCTCCTCTTCTTCGAGCTTGCGCGGGATCAGTCGGATGATCCAACATGCAAGAACGGCTGGAGACCTTGCATTATTGTGACTGCAAGCCCTGTGTAAAGACAGCTGCTGAGGCGGTGACCTGGGGCTTGTCGAGCGCGGCAGCCTGCAGCCGAAGGTGGAGGAGATAATGAGAAAGAAACAGGGTCACGACATGTGATGTTCGTTTAACTCGTTGCGTCTCACTGTCTCACGTTGACATCAAAGTCTTCCATGTTTTGGGAGGAAGTGGGGTTCTCCCTGCAGAAGAACGAGCTGTCTCAGGTGCACGGTGGTGAACACGGCCATACGGCCATGCAGAATTACCGGGCTTTCTTCTGCAGGTGTTCGAGGATGAGTTCGGTGTGCATCTCCTCCTCCGACCGGTGCTCGGAGACCATCCAGTGAAGCAACATAAATCTGTTGGAGTGGCGAGATTCGAGGCTGTGACTAGAGCTGCTTCTATCCTGGGCATCACTGACAGTGAAGCAGCGGAGCAAAAAAAGGAGCCTCTAGTATTGCTCTTGCATATGCAAGCTGCAAGCCTTTGACGCCAATGGTGTTCACAGCAACGAGCTTCCGCAACGTAAAGTATACATGATTCACTTAGTTTCATATCATGCAAGAAGGCATTGAGACTCCTTGATGAGTCAAGTCACCAAGTCATCAGCGAAACGAGTGGGTGTGTCGCGGGGCGTCTGCTTGTTTGGAGTCGCCACCAAGGGTTGCCAAGAAACGGCATGGGAATCACACCACGAAGGCTGGTTGCTTCGAGCATGGCGCATCCTCGTTTTGTGTCTCCTCTGAGCGGACTGCACTACCAACTCTTGCAACAGCTGGTTTCTGCGCTCAATTCGATCAAAACGCCTCCCAGCACTTGACAAACCTGCAGTAGTGCTGGTTTTCACGACTGGTTCGACCTCTTGTGTTCAGTGTGTGTGACCCTCCACATTGAAGCATCTCGGAAAACCAAGGATCTTCGCCGCCTCTGTGCTTGCTTTCGTTCTTCAGCCGCTGCGACAAACACGAATGGCATTCGCCTGGAAAGGTGGGCTCCTAGAGGGGGCGGCCGCCTTGCTTGGGGATTCCTGTGCCAGCCACGCAAGCGGCAAGCAACACACAGGAGCACGCAGGGACATTCGCTATCGCCCCACGATGATGCAGTGCTCGCTTGCTTGCCTTGACACGATGGAGTGCTCTGGGACCCCGAGCGGGCTACGTTTACTTGCCACTACACGTGCCCAGCTTGCCTTGTGACATGGGGGCTTGGGACTTCGCAGTGCGGCACGGCACGCACCGGCCGCTTATTGATCTTCCTGGGCCGGTGTGCTGCCTGTCATAGCCTCTCGGGATTCTGCCTTTGCACGTGTGCTCGTCGACACTCTCGAGGGGGGTTCGCCAGCACCAGGAGTCCTACAGTCGCTCCTCCTCGGTCGTGCTTCTTTGACGGGTTTGCCCCTCCGTCCTGGCCCGAGCTGTTAACTACTCCTGCGGCGCTGAGGACGAAGAACCCCAACTCGGCACCATACGTGGATGGCAGCATCCTGCATCCCGAGCTGTCGACGAGTTCTGCTTCCGCTCCATCCGTCGGGCGCTTGATCCCACGGCCGCACGCCTTGTTCGACTCGCAGGCAGGCCCCTTCGCTACGCGAATCTTCACGGCCAGGCCTACTTCCCCCGAACTGTCATTGGCACCTTCGCACTTCCGAGTGTCGCTGTTGCGGCGCCCCCGGGTGCCTCTGCCGCTCACTGCCGCGCACTGTCGCTGCAGACTTCGCTAGCCTCGCTGCATGCCCCCACTCCGGCGTGTTGCGTGCCAGAGCTGCCTTACTAGAGCGTGCTGCAGCGCCTGTCTGCCGTGAAGGCTGGTGCTACTGTTTCAACCAACGTCTTCGTGCGGGACCTCAATGTCGCAAGATGACCGCCGCCTTGAGGTCATAGCTACATTAACGGCTTGCCGCTCTGGGGAGGGGTCCGAGTAGCGGCTCGGCGTGAGGGTGCGCCACGCTCGCCGGGCGAAGAAGCGCACTTCTTCAGAACTCTGCAACTACGGCCGCTGCCGCTTCGTCGTGCTGGGCATAGGGCAGGTGGTGCGCCGAAGCTGCTACTTTTCTCCGGCTTCTTGTCCGCTGCCGCGCCCGGTTTGCTCCCGCACCACTGCAGAGTGCATGCGTCCCTGCCTGCGTGCTTCGGTGGTCCGCTATGCTCGCCTTTGCCGCTGCCCGCGCCTTCGCGACCAGCCTCCTTTCCCTGCCGCTTTCCGGTGCAGCGACACCGGCCCAACTTCTAATTCTACGCTGGGGCGGCTGCCTGCCAGCACCCGCCGAAAGCTCTGCCGGTGCGGGCTGCTTGCACGCACTGCTCGGTGCCTCCATGCCTAGCGCAGGCGGCTTCTATAATTCTGTGCTGGTGCAGCCTGGCTGCACGCCCCAAAGCTTTGCCGGTGCGGCCCCCACCCCTGGCCAAGTGCAATGATTCTATGCTGACGCGGGCAGGATTCTCAGGAGTCCATTGCGGTGCGGGCAAGCAGCCCGCACCGGCCCAACTTCCAATTCTATGCTGGTGCAGCTGCCTGCCAGCACCCGCCGAAAGCTCTGCCGGTGCGTGCTTGCCCGCACCGCCCCAAAATCTACTTCCATGCTGGTGCAGGTGCCTGCCTGCCAGCACCAGCGAAAGCTCTACCGGTGCGGGCTGCCCGCCCCGCCACAACTTCTAATTCTATGCTGGTGTAGGTGCCTGCCTGCCAGCACCACCCAAATCTCTGCCGGTGCGGGCTGCTTGGTGCACGTGCCTGCCTACCAGCTCTGCCGGTGCGGGCTACTTGCTCGCCTACCCAACTCTTCCAATTCTATACTGGTGCGTGTGCCTGCCTGCCAGGGGCTGCTTGCCCGCGGCTCCCCAAATTCTAATTCTGTGCAGGTGCCTGCCAGCCAGCACCAGCGAAAGCTCTGCCGGTCCGGACTTGCCCGCACCGGCTCAACTTTTGATTCTATGCCGGCACCAGCGAAAGCTCCGCCGGTGCGGGCTGCCCGCACCGCCCCAACTTCTAAATCTTCTAATCTCTTAATTCCATGCTGGTGTAGGTGCCTGCCGGCCAGCACTAGCAAAAGATCTGCCGGTGCGGGCTGCTTGCCCGCAACGCTCCAACTTCCAATTCTATGCTGTCGGTCGCTGTTCAGCGCGCCACCTCCTTGTCGGCGGCTGGTCGGGCGTGGCCGGCGGCGTCGCACGCAGTGGCGGACGATCCGGCATTCGAGCTCGTGTGGACCTCGCTGACGCTGCGGGGGCCTAGCATGCTGCCGTTTCGCACCTGAACACCATTTCTAGCCGACTCAGGACGGTACCTTGTGGCGGATGCAAAAAAACGTCAAAAAAATACAAACAAAAGCAAAACAGCAATATAAGAGGGGAAGCAGCATATATGTGCGGAAAAGGTTAGAGCGGAAGTTGGTGCACAAACCTCGGTTCTCGGCCCAACTTATGAAATTTACAGTGCTCCTCTCAATACGGCGTTGGGCATGCTTCCGCCACTTCCTGGAAGCTTGAAACACGACTCCGACGTAACAGTAGTGACGCATACAAGGCACAACGTTTCCCGAAAGGTGGAACGCGAAGTTTGTCGTGCGCGAATCCACAACAGGAACAGCGGTTTTATGAGGGCCGATGCCAAAAAGGAACCGCCACTGCCAACCCCAGACGCCTACGGCGTACGGCAGTGAGAGCCTTTTGCAAGTCATAGGCCGATAACCCAGTGCAACACCAGCACGTACAGCTGCGGCGACGGCATCAAACAACAGGTGGAACAACGGTGGGCCCAAAACGCCGAGAAAGAACCGTTCACAGAAACTCGCGCAGTGGTGTCGGTGACCAGGTCTGCGACAACCGACCATAAACCACCACTGACACCGGCAGGGGCCCGATTCAAAAGAACGGCATCTCGCCAAGCCACATCAAAAGCTTTACGCGCACCAACAAAAGCGCAGAATGTGTGGTGACGGGGACGTAAACGCAGAGTTTTCGGCAAGGAGCAGACCTGCGCCTCAGCCCCCCACCGAAACCCAGCTTGGCTCTTATCAAGCAGCGGATCAACATGCGGCAACAGGCGTTTCAACACAAGTCGAACACAGACTTTATGACAACTACACAGCAAGCTGATTGGCCGATAGTTCGTGAACTGATCGGCAGAGCCACCTTTGCGGACAGGTGCAACAATGGCCGAACGCCACACAATCGGGACAACTGACCAAAACCGGATAAGCACCAGCATGCATCCTCAACGCGATGCGCTTCGTAAGGCATGCCAACGGCCTGCCTCTGGCACGGGGCGCAGCTCGCGCTCGATGCCACCCTCGTCAGCCCGATCACGCGGGCCGGCGAACCGCAGCCGGGCGCCGACACCCGCCCTGGCGCGGCCGTCCAGGCCGCTGCCCGCCGCAAGCGTCGCTGAACTTACCCCGAGCTCGCGAGCCGCGTTGGAGCTGAAACAACCTGCGCTTCCTCCGGCACCTTACGCGACACCGTGCTGCCGGCCTTCCGCCGCCGCTCCGGGCCGCTGCCTGCGCAGGCTGGGTCCGCTCGTCCGGCATCCTCGCTGTCGCCGCGCCTTCGCGGCGTCGCTGCTGGAACTGCCGCCTTGCCGTGACCTTTGTGATGCGGGAGCGGCGCCGGACCTCCACGAGATCTTCGCGGAGGACCGTGGCGCACCCCCGCTGCTCGCAAGCCGCCTACCGTTGCGCCTGTAGTTTGCATTGGGACCGCAGAGGATGCTCGAAAAGGTGCTTCTTGGACCATGACATCAAGAGCGGTGGTCGCGCCAGGGCTGGATGGCAGCATGAAGAGAGGCAACCGCATGAGACACCATCATGGACAATTACATTTCTCAGAGGCGGACTATGATATCTAGCAAGGTGTCTGTACCTGGATGTGTGGTGAATCCGGTCCCTTCCTCGCTTGCCGCGGTTCAGCTGAGTGAAGTTGTTGTGAGGGATGTTGAAAACTTACGTTTTTTCCCGCCTTTTTCATGCCCGCAAAACCGAAGAGTCCAACTCCGCGTGCAACTTGCGCACTACGGGCCCATAAGTCTGGGGGCGGGAGGGACTGCGTCGTGGCAGCAAGCGTGCTTTCCGGAGCCACACCCCAGAAGCCAGCCTAGGAGTCACTCGAGACGAGGCGGAGCGACTCAGCGCTTCAACGGCCTCCAGCTTCGCAGGCGAGGACGCACAATTGCTGAGGCAAAGGGCAGCAATTCAGGGTACGCAACACCGTGCGCCTTTCTGCGACAACGATGGCGGCTCCGTTGCGAGTGGCGGCAGAAGGCTGAGGCCGCCCCTCGCGTGTCTGAGGCGACACGAGCGTGACGTCGCCACATGTCGCAACACAACGCCTCGCCAAACGAGTAGCCCTGTACACGACAAGGTCAAGGGGCTGGGTTAACGTCACGGACGGGCGGACGTGCGTGCCAACCACGGCTGCGGGACCACCTGGCCCTCGGGCCCGTCAGCTTCACGCGCGATGCGCACCCATGCATGCTCGAGGGGCTTGGCTCGGCGGG